TATTGTTCTGGGTGCTGCTTAGCGTTGTTATTAGAGCAATAACAACCTCAAGCAAACACACTGGAAAAGTCGTCCTTATCCAAATGGTTTGAGGAATGCCTCTTGTCTTGGAATGCAGAAGGAGTTAAGTGAAAGATCAAAGCTACAAAGTCTGCCGGAAACATGAAAACCCAGTGGTGTGAGACACCATAAAAGGGTTAAAAACGATGATGTAAATCATGTGTATTGCTTAAAATGCTGTGAAAATGTAGACAGAACCTGGAGGTATAATAAATAATCTTTGAATACGTGAGAGCCTTGTGGCCTCTCTGTCATTAATCAGAAACCACAGACTGAGGGATTGGCTGGCAAAACATTAATCATTAAGCAATTAATTCCAGCCGTGAAAACAAAACTGTGTGATTTCCTGAGGAGGTGGGATTGGAGAAGGCATGGCATGGTTTTGCTTTTTTGCTATAAAGGAAATAAAGAAGTACTGAGGAGGTCATGCATTCATCATTCAGATGGGATAGAAAATCTCCTTTATTATAGAGTTCTTCCCTTCCTTTTTGTTTATATGAAACAGGAAGTGAGAAAATCACCACAGTTTTTCCTAGGAAGCAGTAATGAGCCTTTTGAGCTTAAACCTTTCAATATGTGTGGCATTAACAAAAAGGGCTTTATTTCTTGAGTCTTGTATGTTCCTCCAGTTCTCCATAAAAGCATGCTAGAAATACTTTTTTATTCTTCTCAGCAGCACCACCAGCTGTAACAGTTCTCTTGTGAGGATCAGGACATCTGTCTTTCCCTCAAATTCCAGTTTCTAATAATTTACCTTAGGATCTTAGCTTTCCTTGCTTTTAGTGTTTATAGTTATGGAGAAACCTAAAAATGCAAATATTAAAACCTCAGTAATCCAAATACAAGGACAGCAGATTGAAAAAATGTGTTCGTACTGATTTTGACTTTGTGTGTCATTTAATTTGCAGATACTTTAATTAGCTTAAGGGACCTAGATTATACTTTTGCAGATTTGGGGTTGGAAATGCTGCTAGAACTGCCACTTGTATTTTTAAATCCAAAACATACACATAAAGAAGAATCTTACTCATGTTTTTCTTGCCATTACTGAGTGGAAACCTGTCCCCTCAAGGGCTGTGAGCACAACTTTACAACCAGCTTCAAGAGACTGTCTGTAAAGTACTGTTGGATGGATGGTGAGGTGTGATATAATTAGAAGCTGCCTAAATAGCGACAGGGCCTAGATAACTTGCCAAGTGCCACGTGAGAAGTCCATGACAGAAACCAACTGTGATTCTTCGGCTGGTACCTAACGCCTGGCCATCTGCCTCGCCAAGCTGACAGCATAAGTACTGGGGGAGCAACTGTGGGAGCTGTTACCTCAGGTCAGCCTGGTCAGTGATTGCAGAAGGCAAAAGACCTTGTTGGTGGCTTCTGAAGGATTGCTCACAAGCTTGAGACACCATTTATTTTAAACAAAGTCATTTTCACAGCAAAAGTATTCAAATGCCACCTTCTCCTTGCATAAAATGTGTGGAAATGTCTTACCACGAGACATACAAAGAAAACCTTCAGCAAAATAGATGTCACAGTGTGTGCAGTGCACCCTTTCGACTATAAAGACATGTCATCACAGCTAAGGGTTTTACAGAAATGAGCATGCAGCTTTTACTTTTTATGGAAATAACCTACCTTTACATACAGCGGTTTCCTTTCAGCAGGTTGTATCTTGAGTTTATACAGACATTCCATAATATTTATCTCATCCTCTGCACAGAAGCACTGTATGGCAAAATGCATTGCATATATAATAGTATGTTAATTAGTGAAAAGGTTGCCATCCTCTTTAGAGATATAGTTCCTGCTGTAGGTGTAACAAAAAACCAGAGGTTAAAATATGTATATTCAGTATGAAAAGTTTTGAGAACTCTTCAGCTGGACAGAAGATGGTATATACTGAGAAACAGAGTGTTTTGTACTTGTTCATTATGTCAGTCTCATTACAGAGAGTGAATTGCAACAGTCCCTAGCTAAGCACAGCATTTAATGAGAGCAGAATTTGTCCGGCACAGATGGCCTGAATTCATGTATTGCCACTGAGATTCTAACTGTGATTATTCTTCATTTCCTCCTTCTTCCCTTGTGAATTAGTCTCGTTTGAGGAGACAGGATGTCGGGTTGAAAAGCCACCTGGATCAGCTAGACCAGCGAATAAGTGAGCTGAAATTGGATGTCAGTAAGAGCTCCAGTGAATACCTGGATAGTGACAGCCGGCCCAGCTCAGGTAATGTGAACTTGGTTGTTTATTCCCAGTGGTATGGTGCTAGGAGAACTGAAGGGTGTCAACTGCTAAGCAAAACTTAATGTATTGTTTGGTCAGAAACAATGCCCCATGGCTGAGGTGAATAGTCATTTGGCACAGAACACACAGAGCTGGTGGGAATTTTCCTGCAAACTTGATTTAGTTGGAAAATACACTCAAACAGTATTATTTCTGGATTTTTTTTAATTATTATTTTTATTTTAAAATGGGTATTTTTGCCACAAATAGCAGGAGGAGAAGACAGTTTTATTAACTACCTTGTTCAGTGCAGAATGACCATTGGCAAATTGGCTAGAGTGCTTACTAGAAGTGAAGAAGACGAACATCCATGTCAGTGCTCTGCTTGAATCCAAGAAGGGTCCTGAACCTCATTAAGGCTTTGAAGATTACTATCACAGCAGTGCTCTGGCCAATTGAATGTTTGATCACTTATATAAAAATGAAACAGCACTATTAAAAGACAGTGGGAGAAACCACCCCAACAGTTTGCTGACTAAAGCTCTCACAGAGTGGGTTTCAGGTTTCTGGTCTGATTTGCAGGGCATACTGTACTGCAGACTTGTATAGCTAGGATATCTGTTAAGACTAGTTTCTGTTACCTAGTCTGGGACAATGGGAATACTTCTTTTTAAATAGAATTTTGAAAAGCTTTAAGTCATCAGTGAGACAAGGAAATGCTTGGGTATTTTTTTATTTACAGCACATGGATTTGCAGCTGGTACTTAGAGTGGGTAATAAAAACACAGGTTCTGTTGAGTGTTTTAAGTTCAGGATTTGTGCGCTTAAACACATACACACGGTTCAAAAGAAAACAGCTTCCTTTTCTGTTTGCTGTATATAGGGAGGAATAATAAAAATTCCTATCTTGAATTTATCCAGAGCCTTTTTTAATACTTCTATGATTAACTGGCAATGATTGCAAGACCTAGAGAGGGAAGATGGCCTCTCTTCTCTGCCCTTAGAGCTATCAAAGACCTGGCGGCTCTGATCACAGGCTAGCTTTATTCTGCTTTCCCATCCAAGCTGTTCTTGTAGGCACCTAGCACAAGTTACAACAGCGTAAGACATAATAGTTCTCAAAGGCGTTCTCCAATGAAGAGCTGGGCGTGATGGTGCTGCACTTCACCCCATCCCACCCTCAGAATTAAGCATGCAAGTGCGTGCCAAGCTGGCTCAGGGCCTAAGTAAATATGCAAAAGCCCAATAAAAGGTTTTTGAATTAGACCATAGCTGTGCTATGATCATAAAGTTGGGCCTGTGGCACATAGCAAATGAAGATTTATTCTCTGCATTTTTCTTCTACAGAGTGTTGGCTACTGCAAATATGAAATATCTTCATCTTTATTTTAACTCTGCAGGCTTCTATGACCTGAGTGATGGTGGTTCTTGCTCACTCTCCAATTCTTGTACCTCTGTGTACAGTGAGTCCATCTCCTCCTCCCACACCAGCCTCTTGCCCACCTCTCAACACCCTAAAGCAAGGCTCACTGTGTTTGATTACCGACCCAAGTCTGCAGATGAAACTACTGTGCACACCACCAGCTTCCAACAGCAGGGAACCTATGTCAGCGATGGATGTCGGATTACAGCTAGCACAGATGTTCCTGGGACTCCTGCCAGGTCCCGACCAAGGCCAGTTTCCACAGGTAATTGACTGCAGAACTCGATACTCATTCAAGAGAAGGGCATAATCCTGGTTATTACTTTTAGGACCTGATATACCAATGTGTAATCAATATATAGCACTCATTTTCAATATACAAAGTGAGAATTAATAAAAAACCCAGAGCCAAACCATTTACTGTCCAACTTTCACTTGTCTCCATGCTCAGATACTTTTAAACAATAACAAATACAAGGGCATACGAATTTAGAAGTGGAAAAAATATTAAGTGCAGGAGATAGTTAAAATTGTACCGAATGTTGAGATACCTTTTTTTTTCAATTTATTTACCTGCTTGTGAAATCATAAAAAATTGCAGTATTTGAAATACCTTGTATGAAGGAGCAGGGATTTGTGAAAAATATAAGGTGAATTCAAAATTAGAGGTGATGCATTTCACTGAGTAAGATTTTACAGAAATCTGAGGAGATACACTTCCAGACTTAGTGCCTGTTTTCTCAATCTGTTGTAAAATGAGTATGATAATACTTATATATATAACTTGCCCTGTTTATTCAAATTAATGTGGACTCAAATTACTCCCTTTTTCGTAAATTATTATGTTAGGGTTAACAGACACCAAAGGTTAATTGACTGTCTAGGAACCAGTCATGATCAATCATGAATATGCATCATATCTTCCAACAAAATGAACAAATATTCCAAACCTCTTGTTTACCCATCTGTGAAGTGACATCATATCGTTTCTAATTTTGGAGCCTTCCATGGCCTCAGAGCAACCTTGTCTTAGTGCAGCTCTGATGGTGACCCAGCCAGATATGTGTCAGTTGCATTACAGACACAGGGAAGCCATGGGGAACATCAATTCAAGTACCATGTCACTCTGGAGTCATGCCCACGGTTTCTTGACTTGAGCTATCTCACCTCTGGCTTGCTTGGAGGAGCAGCAAAGACCATTTGTTATGTAGCTAGCTGTGCAGACACACCTGAACCTGTGGTGGTAAATTATAGCATAAAACCAAAGTCTTCTCAAGACTTCTCAGAGGCTGGGACTGGAGCTGAGTTTAATAATCCGTGGCTTCCATGTTCAGATTACAGATTTAGTGTTCTGTTGGAAACTTCCCTGCCTTGCAACAATTTGCTAAGACCACAGGGGCTTTATGTTTTTTTGGATGTGGAGGTAGAGTAGCAGAAAAAGGGATGGCTGTCATTAAGTAGGGTGTGGGAGTGAAGCTACAGACCGCCTTCAGCTCTCCTTCCTTTTTCCACCACCCCCTCCCTTCTTCCTGGCTACAGCCTGTTAATTCCTTCAGTGTGAGAATCGTAAGTAGTGGAGTGGTAGTGGGTATAGTCTTGAAGAAACAATTCTTGCAAAGTTGACCACATTGCAGGAAGCGAGACATTTGAGAAAAGCATCATTTGGAGAGGGGAAGAAATTTCTCCTTAGATTGTCTCCACAGGTAACTGCAGGTACAAGCCAATTGCCTTTTCTTTCAGTGGCAAGCAGAAAGCTTGCTGAGACACCACAAACACAGCATTCTTTTGACACCTTCCTGGTTTGTTTGCACAAGAGAGCACCACTGCACACTGCCAACAATTTCCTAAAGAATTTTCATTATGAACATATGTTGTTTGAGAAACCATCATCATCCTAACCGTTGCTGTAGCAGGTCTGTAAATGTCTTAGGTAGGACACTGCAGACAACGCCAAATTTGAAGTCTTTCAAAAGCTTCCAGTCACAGGACAGAAATAGTCTCTGTAAGTGAAATATAAGGTTGGATTTGACGATTGAGTTTCCTGGTAGCATGAAGCAGCCAGGAAATCCATTAGCTGAGGATTTGTTGGCACTGAAGTTTGCACTGTTGTACAGAGAAATCCAACTGCAGATGGTTCCAGTACTCTTGGTACCAGAGGTAATACAGCACCATAGTGCTCTAAGAGATGACTTGATTGGATGGAACAGTCTTGTTTCACGTAAGAATACAGCCTGTCCTCTCAGTGCACAGGAGATGCTCCTGCAGGGAAGGTGCAGCAGTCAAGTGTAACTTACAGCAATCTTGACAGGACTCCAAAATTTAAGAGATCTGAATTGGTGGCTATAAATGCCATCAGCCTCCCATCTGCCTGAGTCGTTATCCTGAGATTTTTTTTCTCTGTAAAAGTAAAGGTTCTTTAGCCCATTTTCCTGTGTCCTTAAGGTTGACTTTTAAAAAACCCACACATAGGATTATGGCAT